GGCCCGGATTAACAACGACCGCCATTGGTGCTGGTGACCAATAGGGTACCAGTGGAAACTGGACTACTGTTCGTCAGCAAAGAAGGGGAGGAAGACATTTTCGTAGGCAGAGAGAGAAGAGAAAAAGTAAGAGTGTAGAACTGAGAGTAGAAACTTTAATGTTGGGACTTTGACAGGAAAAGCTAGAGAGTTGGCTGATGTGATGCAGCGGAGAAAGGTGGACATATTGTGTGTCCAGGAGATCAGGTGGAAAGGCAGTAAGGCTGAAGTCTAGGAGCAGGGTTCAAGCTGTTCTGCTATGAGGTGGACAAGAAGAGAAATGGTGTAGGGATTGTCATAAAGGAGGAGTTGATCAGGAATATTCTGGAGGTGAAAAGAGTGTCAGGTAGGTTGATGAGCCTGAAGTTAGAAACTGAAGGTATGATGCTCAATGTGGTTAGTGGCTATGCCCCACAGACTGGATGAGAGTTAGAAGAGGAGGAGAATTTCTGGAGTGAGTCAGATGAAGTGATGCAAAATATCCACAAAGGCGAGAGAGTGGTGACTGGGACAGATTTTAATCGACATGTTGGAGCAGGGACCAGAGGTGATGAGGAAGTGATGGGCAGGTTTGGCATCCAGAACAGGAATGCAGAAGGACAGATGGAGGTAGACTTTGCAAAGAGGATGGAAATGGCTGTAGTGGATACTTTCTTCCAAAAGAGACAGGAACACAGGGTGACATACAAGAGCGGAGGTAGGAGCACGCAGGTGGATTACATCTTGTGTAGCCGAGACAATCTGAAGGAATTCAGTGACTGCAAAGTGGTGGTAGGTGAGAGAGTTGCTAAATAACACAGGATGGTGGTGTGTAGAATGACTCTGAAGGTGAGAAAGGTGAAGGGGGCAACGTTTGAACCGAGGACAAAATGGTGGAAGCTGAAAAAGGAAGAATGTTGTGTGACTTTCACGGAGGAGTTCAGACAAGCTCTGGGTGACCAGAACATGCTTCCAGATGACTGGCCAACTACTGCTCATGTTATCAGGGACACAGGTAGGAGAGTACTAGGTATGTCTTCTGGAAGGAAACTTGACAAGGAGACTTGGTGGTGGAATAAGGAAGGAAGTGCAAATATGGGTACAGAGAAAGAGAGCAGCCAAGAAGAAGTGGGACAATGTGAGGACTGAAGAAAGTCACCAAGAGTACAGGGAGATGCAGCGTAAATGAAGGTAGAGGAAGCTAAGGCCAAACAAAGTGCATACACTGACTTGTATAATACACTGGAGAGTAAGGAGGGAGAGAAGAACTTATGCAGGTTGGCGAGGCAGAGAGGTAGAGATGGGAAGGATGGTCATCAGGTTAGGGTGATGAAGGACCAAGATGGAACTCTACTGACAGATGCAAAAAAATGTGATAAGAAGATGGAAGGAGTACTTTCCAGAATGATCAGCTATAAAGTCATGGATAGTTATCACCCCTATGAGGTGAGGCTTCATATAAATATGAATAAAATCTGAGAGTCATAAATAAACCAGATAAACAATAAAAGCAGGTCAGATGTCACTTCATTAGGATGGATTCTAAACATGTAATCATATTAAACCTAAAACTGAAGAATTAATTTACTTTTCCTTATATCTTGACTAAAATCCACCTGCTTAGGGTTGCATTTGAAACATAATTAATTATGAATTTAATGATGGCATTTGACATATTGTAATGTTTTGATTGTTGATTCTATGTTGCATGACTTTGTGATTTTGTGTTTGTTATTATGTAAAGCACTTTGAAATGCTTGCTGCTGAAATGTGCTACATAATAAAATTTGATGGTTTTTCATTTATATTTCAGGTCTGTGGCGTATCGTCATCGTCTCTGTGGGTTTAGCAGCTCTTTCACTAACTGTTGTGAGCGTCAACATTTGGACCAGAACTAAAATGTGAGGTAGAGAAATGAAACAGTTTGATAATCTGCAGAATGAAAATACCTAGCTTTTGATGAATTGGTATAAAACTCAGAAAAAGATTATTGATTGATATTAAAATTAGATTATTCTGTCTGTTCTCTTCCTAAAACCTGTTGGTGATGAAAACTTTAACATTAGAAGGTTTTGTAAGATTTTATTGTCACTATTTGTATTTTCAAACTCCTCTGATGTTCCAGATCAAATCCAAGAAATTGAT